GAGTTTTGTCTAGATGGATTTGAACCCAGCTTCCCAAGGAGGCGGTGACTACTTAATGGTCTGCGCCACCCCACAACTGGGCTCCCACTGCCGTCAAATCAATGCCAGCAACTCTTTACAACAGAGCAGGACTGACTGCTCCTTAGGTTCTAAGTCTTTATGAAGGCAGACTTTTGAAGCTTTCCCTCACAGCAGCTGGTGGGTTCGAACCACCAACCTTTCAGTTAATAAGCAGCCCAAAGCTTAACACCAACACCACCAGGGCGCCATTGACACCCAGGGCAGCAGGGGCTTTAAGCAGCTTCCTGAAGATGGTGAGGTGGGGCTGGCCTCTGGGGGATCTAGAGTTACAGGTGGAGCAAGGGGGAGGGGAGCTTGGGTCAGATCTATTCTGGAGTAGGAACAGAGCTGGCTTGGGGCGGGAGTGGATGGAGGAGACAGGGAGGCTGTGGCCAGACGGATGTGGTTTTGTGACCAGCCAGGGCTGCTGGGTTTCTTGTGCACACTCAGGAGTGGGCTTGAGGCCCAGGCTGCTCTGCCCTCGTGGTGAGGGTCCGATGGAGCCCTTGGCCTCCCTCCCTGGCCCAGGGTATGGGGAAATGGGCGGACCCAGCCCAGGGCCTGAGCCTCCTTGGACACGTCAGCGAGACAGGAGCCAGCAGTCCTGGCCGCCGGCAGCAGGCCTGCGGAGTGGGGGGAGGTTGTTGGCAGACTCTGGGGCTGGGTTTTTGTCAGGCCTGGCCGGCAGGCAGGACCCCACCCAAGGGATCCAAGCATGGGGCCAGAGGGTCCCAAGCACTGGGTCAGCAGCACAGGGCCACTCTGCTTTTGGGAGCTGTGGCAGGCTGACCTCTGTCTGTCTGTCCAAGTCTTGCCTGGCTGGCCAGGCATACGGCTGCCCCAGTCCTGTTGCCGTGTGTGAGGGGTGCTGAGAGCTGAGATGACGAATGCCCATAGCCTTTCTCACTCATGGGGTAACAGGCTTGTCAGTGGCAGGCCTGGCCCAGGCCAGCTTGCTCCCCAAGAAGCCCCACTTTCTACATGGGCTTTTGTGTAGGCTTTTGACCTTGGGGCACAGTGCACTCCCCGCCCCCCCCTTCACAGATGGGGATACTAAGGTCACCTGGCCGGCCCACTGAGGTGAGTGGACAGGTAAGGAAGAACCTCTCAGTTCAAGTTCTGGTAGTAGGAAGGGGCCTTCACCATGGTCCCCTGCTGTGCCCCAGTCTCACTCCCAGGAGAACAGTCCCCACACCCTTTGCAGAGGCAATACCTCCCTGCTTGGGTCAGTGGATCTGATATCACAGCCCAGGCATGGTGGTCTACCAGAGCCTCTGCAGTCCTAGGATGGCACAGGGCAGCTGTGGGATGGATCCCTGCCCCCCCACCCCCACCCTAGGCACACACACCATAAGCACACACACGCTGGCTTAAGAGTGAGACCCTTAAAAACAGCCAGAAATAGACAAGACTCCTCCTGTGCTCAGAACAACTTCAGAGATGAGGAGGGCGGGGCTGTGCACGCCAATTGGATAAGTGGGGAAATTGAGGCAGTGTTGCTATGGAACCAGCCCGGGGGCTTGTGAATGCTCGCTCAGGCTTCCACCTACTGACCCCCACCCATCTGCCTGTCCTACTCCCATGTCCATCTCAGGCCTGATGAGCCTCTGGGGCTGCCCACTCCTCTGGGTCCTGGGAGCCCCAAGACCCTGGCATGTGCGTCCTCCCTTCCGGTCACAAGTGGAGTTGGGTACAAGCAAAGAGGCCCACACCTGCATTTGGAAGGTTGGGCTGCTCACTGAGCCACTCAGCCCCAGGCCCCCCTCACTCCTGGATACGGCCCAGTCCCCACCAACTCCATTGCCACATCCCAGAGGCTGGTCCCTGTCACCCAGGCATCATCCTGTGCCTGGTCCTCAGCATCCGCCCATCCGTCTCTCCCGAGCTCTCTCCACATTGGCAGCTGCCCCCTTGGTGCAGAGTGGGAAGACAAGTAGCCCCTGCAGTCCTGGCCACTGCAGGACAGCGGCTGTCACTAGGAAGCAGCAAGTTGCTGATGCTGTGGGTCTCAGGTGTGTTTGGATGGGATGCTGCTTGAGACGGCGGCCTAGGGCGCCTGCAGCATGATGGGAAGGCCTGAAAGGGCACGAGAATGACCGCACAGGGATGCCAGGTAGGCAAAGATGGGAGGGAGACAAAGCCGACAGGCTGGCCTGCTTCTGGTCACAGACCTATCTGTAAAATGCACCAGTTCAGTGAGGTGCCATCAGATAACAGTGCCTGTCTCTCACTTGCTGCTTGTTCCCTGCTTCCCTTGGAGGGCTGTGATGGAGGGTCTCCTGTACCCCCCAGGCCTAAGTGTTAGGTGCTCACCTAGTCCTCACCCTCAACCTCATTACTGGGAGGTGTGTCCTCTCAGACAAAAGAACTGACGTCCCCAGCACAACGCCGCCTCTGAGCCAGGGCTGCCTGAGTCAGGCTGACGTTATACGAGGCCCAAGGGGAGGGAAGGCTGAGGGGGTGGCCAGCCTGGCCACACGCAGGGTCCCCATCCGCCCCTGAGCCTGGCTGCTCCCTCTGTGACCTCAGCCAGGCAGGCTGACTCATGGGCTGCACCCCCACCACGTGGCCACAGGGTGGGGTGGGGGTCTGAGCAGCCAACATCTGGAGGCCAGGCTGCACCGCTGTCTTCTGAGTCAGGGAGGGGGCGAACCACATGCGGGTGGTGGCAGCTGGGGGTGAGGCCCCCAGGGCTAAAGTCACCTCACGTGGGAGTCCCTGGGGACAGGCAGGGCCCCCACTACACACGCTTGTTGCTGCTGTTAGGTGTGGATTCTGGCTTCCAAGGCAGAGCAGAGGAGCAGGACTGCTCCTTAGTGCTTCCTAGGCTGTCGCTTTTTCAGAAAGACTGCCACACCTTTCTCCCTTGAGTGGCTGGTGGGTTTAAACTCCTGGCCAGTGGGAGCAAGGTCCCTGGGCTGGGTTGGTACTAGCAGAAGCGATGACACCCCTTCCTCGGCACAGGGGGACATTGCAGTTGGGCAGGACCTGCATGGCCCCAACCTGAGTAACCAGGCCTCTTCCCTAGACATAGTGCCTCAGGACTACAATGTCCTTCCTTAGCAGGACCAGCCCCCTCCTCTCCCCTCCGCAGTCAGTGGGGCAGAGCGAGGCAGAGTGAGGCTGGGCAGGGGGGCAGTGTTACCTGCTGTTGGCAGGCCAGTGTGGGGGAGGAGACCGCCTATGCTCCAGCACAAAAGGCCCTTGTGTGTGCACACAGAAGCCTGGGGGAGGGGGAGCTGGCCGCCAGGCAGCAGGCTCCTGGGCCAGGCTGGCACCTACACTGGGCCCACAGGGTGAGGCCACAAGTGGATGTGGCTCTGTCCCCTTCCCCGATAGCATGGGGTGCCTGAGAGGTGGTGGGGGGCTCCTGCTTCAGCCCCGCTCTGACTGGGGGCTCAGAGCTGAGGCTGTGTGGGAGAGGCTGGCCCAGGCTGGGGCTGAAGGACCAGCACACCTGGAAGTGGTTAGGCCTCGCCTCAGCCTGCTCAGGTTTCCCAGCCTGGCTTTCCCCAGCACACCCGGGGTAGCAACCATTTCTCCCTGGAGTGGCTGCTGGGGCCACTCCAGGTGACTGGGACATGCTGGGGGCACAGGGAACGTGAGGCGGGATCCAGCAAGGAGAGGGCTGCTGCTTCTACAACTAGGCCCCCAAATGTTCTAGGGATGAAGGAGCCGGGGGCCCTCCTCACCCCCAGCTCCACCAGAGGGGCTCTGCAGACAAGGCTCCCCCTTCCCATCCCCTTGCCCTGTGACAGCACAGGTCCTGCCTAAGGCTGAGCCCTCCCCAAGGACCGCTCCCCGCCACATCTTGGCGGCTGCAGCCGTCTCGGCAGGTCTGACTCCACAAGTGGAAAAACACCGACCCCAACAGTTTCCATGAGAACTCTCCCGGCTGCGGTCCCCTGGCTTGGCAGAGAAGGACGTGGAGCAAAGCGGTAGCAGGCAGGCCAGCTTCTCTGCTTACGCACCCAGGCCGCCTGCCTGCCTGCCCGGCCTGTTTGTCTACCCGCCCGCTGGTGTGGGGAGGGGCAGCCCATGCCTGCCAGACCACCTCAGCAGAATGCAGGCTGGGGGGATGAGGAGGAGCACAGGCCTGATGCTTTTAGTGAGCGGCAGGCTACTGAGACAGACCTGCCAGGACAGACAGTGAAGGGGAAAGAAGGCTGTCGGGGTGAGGGGGTGCCAGACCCATGCTAACATCTGCACATGTCCCCGCCACCTCACTGCTGGACACTAATGTCCCAGGAAGCAGCAGCTGACACCATAAAGGGTTATACAGCTGCTTTAAATCATGGAGCGAGATAGGAAACAGCGTGGTGCTGGGGACCCATCTCACTACCACTGGAAGTTGAGTGTGGGGCGGCAGACAGTACTGCCTGAGCAGTGACCCTTTCTGAATCCTTCCTGAGCAGGGGATGGGTGCCTTTTTGGGCCTCAGGGCCCTCAACTCACAGCCCCCCATCTGTCTCCTCTCTGCCCTCAAGGACCAGAAGATGTACCTCCAGAGCCCTCCACCCTTGCTGTTGCCTCTGCTGCTGCTGGCATTGGGATCCAGGGTGTGGGGCTGCCCACCCGGCTGCCAGTGCAGTCAGCCACGGACTGTCTTCTGCACATCCCGCAAGGGCCTCACAGTACCACAGGATGTGCCCCCTGATACTGCCGGCCTGTATGTCTTTGAGAACGGCATCACCACACTGGATGTGGGCAGTTTTGCTGGCCTGCCTGGCCTCCAGCTGCTGGACCTGTCCCAGAACGAGATCACCGGCCTGCCTGATGGGGTTTTCCAGCCACTCGCCAACCTCAGCAACCTGGACCTGAGTGCCAACCGGCTCCAAGAGGTGACCAATGAGAGCTTCCGTGGTCTGCGGCGCCTGGAGCGCCTCTACCTAGGCAAGAACCGCATCCGTCACATCGAGGCTGGGGCCTTCGACGCGCTGGACCACCTGTTGGAGCTCAAGCTGCAGGACAACGAGCTGCGGGCGCTGCCCCCACTGCGCCTGCCCCGCCTACTGCTGCTGGACCTGGGCCACAACAGCCTGCCTTCGCTGGAGCCTGGCGCCCTGGACGCTGCCAACCTGGAGGCATTGCGGCTGGCCGGCCTGGGTCTGCGACGGCTGGAGGAGGGGCTCCTGGGCCCCCTGCACAACCTGCATGACCTGGACCTGTCCGACAACCAGTTGGAGCATGTGCCTCCCGCCATCCGTGGCCTGCGGGGCCTGACGCGCCTGCGGCTGGCAGGAAACCCCCACATCGCCCAGCTGTGGCCCGAGGACCTGGGGGGGCTGGCAGCCCTGCAGGAGCTAGACCTCAGCAACCTGAGCCTGCAGGCCCTGCCGGCCAACCTCCCTGGCCTCTTCCCCCGCCTGCGGCTCCTGGCGGCTGCCCGCAACCCCTTCAACTGCGTGTGTCCCCTTAGTTGGTTTGGCCAGTGGGTGCGTGAGAGTCGGGTCACACTGGCCAGCCCTGAGGAGACCCGCTGCCACTTCCCACCTAAGAATGCCGGCAGGCTGCTCCTGCAATTGGACTATGCTGACTTCGGCTGTCCGGCCACCACCACTACCACTACCACCACCACCGCAGGCACCAGCACAGCGCCCACCACTAGGCCCACCTTGGGTGAGGTGGCCCCCTCCCTGCCCAGCAAGGCACCCACCTGGCTCAGCCCCACGGAGCTGGCCACCCAGGCACCCACTCAGCCATCTGTGTCCCTGCCCACTGCAAGGCCTGGCCCCCAGTCCCAGGACTGCCCAGCGTCCACCTGCCTCAATGGGGGTACCTGCCACCTAGGGGCACGGCGCCACCTGGCATGCCTGTGCCCTGAGGACTTCACGGGACTATATTGTGAGAGCTGGGTACAGTCAAGGGCCAGCCCTGAGCCAGCCACCCCAGTGGTGCCACAGGCCCTGCCCCTGGGTGTGGAGCCTGTGAGCCCCACCTCGCTACGGGTGGGCCTCCAGCGCTACCTGCACAGCGCTGCTCACCTGAAGAGCCTGCGCCTCACCTACCGCAACCTCTCTGGCCCTGACAAGCGGCCAGTGACACTGCGGCTGCCCGCCTGGCTTGCCGAGTACACAGTCACCCAGCTGCAGCCCAACGCCACCTACTCCATCTGCGTGAGGGCCCTGGGGGCTGGGCGGGGCTCTGAGGAGGAGGCCTGCGGGGAGGCTCGCACACCCCCAGCTGTCCGCTCCAACCACGCGCCTGTCACTCAGGCCCGTGAAGGGAACCTGCCTCTGCTCATCGCACCCGCTCTGGCTGCCGTGTTGCTAGCCACCCTGGCCACTGTGGGGGCCACCTACTGCATACGGCGAGGGCGGGCAGCAGCGGCAGCTCGGGGCAAGGGACAGGTGGGGCCAGGGGCTGGGCCCCTGGAGCTGGAGGGGGTTAAGGCCCCCTTGGAGCCAGGCACCAAGGGAACTGCGGGTGGTGGGGAAGCCCCAGCTGGCGGGTTCGAGTGCGAGGTGCCGCTCATGGGTTACGCAGGGCCCAGCCTCCAGGGGCCCCTTCCTTCTAAGCCCTACATCTAAGCCTAGGAACAAGGGGGCCAGCCAGCGCTCCCTGCCACCAGATCACCCAGGAAGTCCTCGGTTCCCTGGGACAAGATGAGCTCCTGAAACCACACTGAACCTCAGTTTTCTCATCAGTGAAGATGGTGATGACCTCCATGGCCCCCTGGGAGCCCATCAGCTCCTGTCTCGTGGACAGCCTGTCCCACAGTCCTCTGCACACGATCCCCTGGGGTCAGGCTGGACAGGAGCTGGGCCTGTCTGTGTGCGGGTCACACAGGTGGTGGCCTGCAGGGCCTCCCTGACCCAAGACTGGGGGCCAGTGAAGGAGGACCCCAGAGTGAACAAAGGGAGAACAGAAGGGGGGTGGGTCATCACGGCCCCTCCTCAACCCCAGGAGCGAAAGGAACAAGCAAACTGGAAGGGAAGACTCCACCTTAGGAACCTGCTCTGCTTCTGTCGTTTGTTGTTGTTTTTGTAAAAAGATATATATATTTATAAGAGATTCTTTCCCATTTATTCTGGGAAAGTGCTTTTCAAACTCGGAGACAAGAACTTTGATTTTTCTAAGACAATGACATGAAGGCCTTTTGTAAGAAAAATACAAAAATAAAACAAGATGAAACCAGAGTGTGTTTCCTGGACACAGCTCAGCCCTGTGGTGGCCAAGCTAGGTGACAGGAAGGCAAGGGGCCACCTAGGCCTGGATGGTGATAGATAGGGAAATGGGGGCCGGGGGACACTGGGAACCTCGTGCCCCAATAGGCACCAGACCCTGGACAGCAGCCTCTGGCCTTTCAGGGGCTGCTACTGATTGATGGCCATATTCTGAAGGGTGCTCTCCAGCTTTGCTGCCGTGGGGAGTGAGGCTGGCCCGGGCAGATCCAGGGGACAGGAACTGGGCAGCCTCTAATCAAACCCAGCTGTCTGGCACCATTAGGAGCTAGGACTGAACCTGCTCTGGGGCGTGACAGCATGGCTGTTAGGGGTGGGCTTCTGGCGGTGAAGGGAACTGCAGGCAGGTGCCCTAGGACCATCAGTTCACAATGGAGGAGCTGCCTCCAGCATGTCCTTGCATGGCTTCACAGCGGTCCTGTGACCATGTGGCTTCTAGAGCTTTCCTGCAGGGTCCTAGGTGGTATGCATGGCCTCAACTCCTCCCTGCAGGCCCACTGCCCTTCCATGTAGGCTGAGGCTGGGAAACCTTACTCCCTGCCTCTTGTTCCCAGCTGTGGAGTGAGGGCCTTGGGGACAGGCAGCCCAAGGGCAGGACCAGTTGGCAGATAAGACAGTGCCAGGCCTGGTGGCCCCATGCTGACCCCTCACGGGGATGTGCCCAGGCTTTCCAGAAACCCCGGAAGTGGGAGTGTTTTCCAGGAAGGCCACAGGCTGAGGTGGGGGCAGGGACAGTGACAGCGACAGCAGACCAGTAGCTGAAACACTAAACTTCATCACCTCAAATGGGGGTGGGGTGGGGTGAGGGAGGTGGGGGGAGCCCACACAGGGACCCAGGACATCTGGGAGTCCAGCAAAGGCTGGCATAAGCATGCCGAGGCCCAGGCCCCTCCAGGGCAACGCCCTGGAACTACTCTTGGCCTGGCTGGAGC